GCGACACTGTTTTAATTTCTGAAAATTTATTTGAATTTATTTAATTTTCGATAAGAATATTGCGGGGTATTTTTATTTCAGAGTTAAAAATAAATTTAAGCTTTTAAATAATCATGTGTATTGATGTGATTATTTAGAAAATTGGTTTTGTGATATACTCATGGTATTAGAATTATTCTTTGGTGAAATTCATAATAATTTATTCTTTGAAGGTACAATAAAAAACTAAGCATATTAATTATTCACCTGATTATCAAATTTAGAATTAATAATGAACAACTGGTATGTTGAATAATATCATTTATTTGAATTTGATTTAGTCAAGATGTAGGAGCAAATCAAAGGTTTAGTAATTAATACTCTATAATCCAATTAACTCTTTGATGCCTAAACTAATACGAACATTAATTAGGAAGAAATTATTGATAATGATATTCATAATGTTTTCGTCTCCTATCTAACACACTTCAAATCTTAATAAATGAACCAGAAGTTTTTCTATTTTTCCTAAGACAAACAAACTTTAACCAATCAATTCCTAATTTCTTTATAGTTGGCAGAAAAATAGATTCATATTCATGCTCATAAAACTTAATAAAACAGTGTATTTATTTATATTAATTCTTCATAGAAACCTCTTAGCTTAAGTTCTAAGAATATTATTTTATTGTCAATTATTGGCAGAAATGCTTCAATTATTTTTAAACATTATCGTGAGAATTATGTTATGATTATATTTAAAAAACTTAATTAAAATTGAATAATTTCATAACAGATATTTAATAGTAAAACTAATAATTTTAGAAAATATTTTGTATTTTTTTTTTTGTACTTAATGAATAATTCTATTTTCAAGAGCTTTGCAGAAAAATTATATGTTCCAGATTTATCATTTTCAAGATTTTTTATATTGATTATTATTTTCTGATGATTGGCAGAAGAATTAAATACCAATTTATTTGTGATTTTGATTGAAAAGAGATATATTTTTGGTTCATCATAAATCGAAAAGATTAGAATTTTTATTTCTAAATTATTATAAAGGGTAGTAACCTATTTTTAAAGCTCAAATGCATTTGTTTAAATTATTTGAATTGCAACATAAAAAATCTTAATTATTTTGAAAAGAAGTTCAAATGAATGTATTATAAATCAAGTATACTTAGGATACTTAGGAGCTATTTGCGCAATATTACTGAAAAATCTTTTCAGAATCCAAAAGATATTTTACTGGTAGATTTATTAATATAATTATTACTTAAAAAATAGAAAATTATTATGCAAAAACAAAATTATATCATTAACAATTTGCTCATATGCATTTTTTATTAATTCTCCTTAGTTTTAAATATCAAGTTTATTAAATTTTCATTAGTTATGAAACATGTTTATAAATTATTATTATAATTTTTATAATTATTCAATTCTTTACAATATAACTTCTATTTGGATTTAACTATTCTTATCTGCTTTTTACAGTTTATTGTAAAAAATTTTATATTCTCTGATAATATGATTTATTTACATATCAATTCATGTCTAATAAATTAATGATTAATGAGAAAATCAACTAATTTAAAATATCTCTCCAAAATTTGTAATAAAAGAATTTAGCTTTATTAAAAAGGAACAAGAAAAATGTAGCTTAAATAATATACTGTATCAAATTTCTAGAATTTAATTTATTCTTGAATAATAAATTGGGTATTTAATGTGCTAATTAAGTCTTTAATAAGGAAAAAAATAGCAAAAGATCAAATCAAATAAGGTTGTGATAGTTTATAAAAATTATTTCGTTGTTAAGCCAATTGATTTATCTTCATTTCTAAGAACCTTTAACAATATTTATTAAACCATCATTAACATCTATTTATTAAATATAAATTTAAATATTTTTATCTTTTACAAATACATTGTGTCCTAATTTTTATTAAGAATTAAGGGATATATATTTGTTTTAATTAAGAGTTTCTGAAAAATCTGTCCTAAAACTATTAATTATTGTATCTAATTAATAATATAGAAATATATATATATTCATCGAATGTGATATCTTCTAAAAATAATTACTTAGTATTTTATCAAAATTGCTTAGAATTTAGTTATTAAGGATTATATATTATAAAGTGATTGAGAGTAAGATCATAAAAACTTATTCCTTTTAATTGATTAAATCATCAATCAAAGGATTTGAACCAGTCTTAAATATTTGGAAAAGGTATCAATGTGATTCTTCTAATACTGATTTAGTTTTAAATAACAAATGTGTTTTTTGCTTTTTTGAACTTTGCAATTAGAGTATTCATAAAAATGCTTAATTTAATTATAAAGAAATTTTAGAAGTTTTAATAATCCTTTTAATAAATTCTAAGTGATTGTTTTGGTCATAATAAATTCTTTATAATTTAAATCACTGATATCTATTTATTTGAGAGATAAAACCAAATTTTTTTATCAATAACCTAATATTCTGTCTTATTATATAATCAACGAAAGTATCTAAGATTATAAATATCCCATCATGATAAATATCAGTTCACTCAATAATATTTGATATCCAATTTGGTTAAGGTTTTCTCTATAAAAACTTCTTATATTATAAGTAATAAATTATAATTTTATAAATAATTTAATTGTTATTAATTTGTTGAATTAATATGATATATTCTTATTATTAGACAAAAAAAAGTATATTATTAATTTTATATTGGTTTTGATGGTTGACTGATGGCAGAAGAGTTTATTTAATGAATTTACATCCAAACCCATCTATCACTTCATTCTATTTACCAATCCTTATTATTTCTTCCTTATTTGAACCATTACTTCAAATATTTAACCCTCAATCTAGTTTGAAGTATTTATCCCATTTATTAGCATTTTACCATTTTTATATTCACTCTGATGATTTACTTAAAAGAATTGAATAATTTTATCTGCAATCCAATCTTATCACCATTACCTACTTTATTATATGATCTACCGCCTCTCTTCAATATACTTTAAACAACACCTACCTTTATTGATTAATTGTCTTATCAAAAATAAAAATATCCCACATAAGTGACCTCCTATCTCCACTAAATCTCATCACTTGACTCATTTCGTTTCCCAATTTTATTACCATTACTTGCTTTGTCATATAGCCGAAATCACTAAAAAATTATCAGATTAATGTATATTTCAATTTAAAATGTTCCTTTCCTTCTCCTCTATATATATTCAATTATAAAAAAATTATAGAAATAATTTATATCAATCGTCGGCTTCTATCCATTTTCCATGTTTTTTCACCTTATTAAATTTATAATCCACCACCACTTTTAATAACATATTGTAATATACATTTTTTCATTCTCATCAGAGCACTTCCAATTTCCTAACCTATTATCGTTAAAATATTCTTTAATTTCATATATGTAAGCTTATCTTAATATTCATTAAATAAATTTACATCAGAAAATTATTTCAGATTTAGCTTTTCCATGTTACTATCCGTTTAACTACTTTATCCATGTTTTCCAATCAACTTTAAATACTTTATTTACTCTAAATTGGTCAAGTATTCAGGCTTTTGAGATAAGTCTTTAATTAAATCTCTATTTTTAACAATTTAACATTTACATTCTTAATAAAGCGCCATTCTAATGATAAATGAATTCATTATTATTAAAAAAAACTTATATTTAAGTTCCTAATTGTTTTGGCGGATTCCAAATAAAATCCCAAATAATTTCGTCAATTTCACAATTATCTTACTACTGTTTTGTTTATTCTTTGAAGGGGTATTTATTGCATTTAAAAAAAAATTCCATTATTTTGAATGAAATAACAACTTTTGATTTTTTTCATTGATAAAATGAGGGAGATATAAAGTAGGATTTTTGCGTTTAATCAAAAAGATACGATTCTATTTTGTAAATATTTTAGATTTTATAATTTCATCATTATTTATCCTATAACTTTGATAGATAACTTTTTAAATAAATCAAAAAGAAAATTGAATAAGTGATTAAAATTATTTTTTTAATAATTTTCTATACCCTATATTTGGTATATTTCCAAGTCATCAATTTTTGAATGAAGATTGTTTCATCTTTATATAATATTTGCATCTTTTTTCTCACACCTTTGCATATCAGTTAATAATTTATGATTTTTTTCCAAAATTGTTAATAAAATCTAATTATTCTTTATAAGATGATTTTTAGAAAAAAATTATGAATTATAAGTCAATAAGTTCTAACCATTTTATAATTGGATTCTACACAAATATTTTTGAAATTAATCTATTTACAAAATGTTTATATACTTTATCTAATGGAACCTAAGAAATTTAATGAAAGTGGAATATGAGGTCTGCTATTTCTTAAGTGATTCGCTATCTATGAAGTTATTCCTTATGTCTGCATCTTGCTTTGAATCATTCATAATAAAGAGTTTATTTATTTTTTTTAAGAATATCTCTGATTTGTTTTGTATAATTAAATTTTTTAATTAATTATATTTAATTGATTGATTGGTTATTGAATTGATTAATTCTTTTTCTGAATTGTATTATTTATTAATTTCACTGTTTCTAATTAATTTTCTATTTTATATCTTGGTAAATAAAATTTAAATGATTGGATTGAATATCTAATTTGTGAAAGTAATTAGTAAATGACATAATCTCTATGATTCAGATAAATCCATCAAGTTTTGATTTTATTTTTAATTAAGAGACATGATTTTATATTGTAATATACATCTAAGGTTTTGTAATTAAAAAAGGATTATTTGAAAAGTAGATATTCTTTATTGGAAAATTAAAACTATATATTATTATAATGATTTGATTTCAACTTTTAGTCAGTTTGAAAATAATTAAAATGTAGATAAGAATTTGAATTGTTGAAAAAAAAGAAAATAGATGGAAAAATTTTAGCAACATATGAAGGTGTACAATATTCTGGCAATAATTATTAATTTAAAATATGAAGATTAACAAGATTTCTTGAAAATAAATACAGTTTAGAACATACAAAATTAGCTTAAAAAATTTATTATTTTAGAGGATCTTTCTTTAATCTAAAATATTATTTCAAGATACTTATTCTCATTCAATTATCAAAATTGAAAGCAGATAATTGCAAAAATGATTTTGAAATCTAAACCGAAGTAAATAACTATTTATTTTTAGAAATCCTTCAATCAAAATGATATCAATTCACTCTAGAAACCCTCTAAGTCATCTATGTTAAACTAACTTTTATTTTAGCTTCAGAAATTCCATACTAAAAAAGTTTTGAGTAAGAATTAAATTTTGAAGTTTAGCCTTAGAATGTGGAATCTATCAAGTTATTATTAAATAATATGGTAGAGTTCAAAAAATGGAATAAAAGGATTTTGATAATGAATAAAAAGAAGAAACTTAAGAGATATAAGGTTGGTAATGGGATAGTGTAGAAAATAGATTTATCCAATACATTTACTAAATCAAATTAACTCTAGATAACAAAATTGTTTACACCAAAGATGGTGAAACCTAAAGAATGTTACACTTTATTATCTTTTACTGTTAATAGTGACGAAATAAAAGATACTTCAGTTAAACCAGAAATCTTAGCAAACTTAGAATTACCATTATTAACAGATTTGTCTTGTGGGTAAATTTTAAATTTTCCTGCAACTTAAGGATATTAATGTACATAAAATATTCCTAATTATAATATTTGCTTTAATCAATCATAATATACTCATTTTTTTCTATTGAATGTAAATAAGGATATTATTCAGATCGTTTTTCTGGATAATTTTATATTTTTCTGCAATCTTTAAATTGTAAAACATTTTATCATTCTATTATACAATTTAATGATGAATGGAAAGTCAAACTTAAAGTTATAAATTAAGTTTTGAAATAATAATCAAATCCAAGATATTTTGTATTATAGTCATTTTTTATTTTTAGTTTCCACAAGATGAAAGTAATAATCCTTAAGATTATAAATTGATATGTTATTTATGTAATGATGGCTTTATATTATAAAATGGAAAATGCATAAAATAATGTGATTCAAATTGTTAGTATTAAGATGGTTAATATTTAATTTATTGAGTTTAATTTAATAAAAATGTTCAGATTTTCTTAGTTATTTTAAATTTTGTAGAGAAAGAACATAAGATGAATTTGTAACATTATATTCAAATTATTTATTAAATGAAAAGAATTTAATTTATTCTTGTTAATGCTTAAAAGCGTTTTCTTTTAATCAAGATCTTTATTATGATTAAATTTTTGGAGAATTAATTTCTTGTTAAAATTCAATTGGTTGTGAAAATGTTCTTAATTATGAATTGAATTTATACTGTTCTACTGAAGAATATTATAGAACTCTATAATTAATTAGTAATTTAGATTAATAAACTCAATTTAAAATGAAGAATATACTATTTGATTCACTGTTATAATCTAAACCATAACAATCTAATTTTGCTGATGTAATATTTAATTAATAATTTAAGTTAGAGTTTGATTCTAAATATGAAATTATGAATAAGAAATTTATTAGAAAAATGAGAATTTATTTAATATCCAATCAAGAATAAATTTGTTCAGTCAATTAAATAAGTTATATTTCCTAAAAGTTTTCCAAATGTGTATTTAATTTAATGTAATTATATTCTTATAAAAAGTGATGTTTAATTATTAATAACATCTAAAATTGAAAAGCCTTTAAAAATAAAAGTTTATTAAGAATTACACTTTTTAGATTTTTCATATTTAAAATTTGAAAATATTTAATTTGAAATACAATATACTACTAACATAAAACTTATTTTTATTTAAGGATTTAAGCCAATAACCTTATAAATGGAAAAAAATTGATTTTTACCTTCAGACCAGAAATAACAATTGTTATTCATTTTCAAGGTAAATAAATTTTTTTGATAATTTTTAATTTAGTTAATCTTTAAAATTCATTATTATAGAATTAAAATCCATAAAGTATTTTTTCACTATCATTTCAAAACATCAAATGCATAAGTTTAAATTATGAGATTTTCAATCTTTAATTGCATTTTTTTAAATGTTAATCTATTTGAATTTTATTCAAATCAACCAATTTCAATAGAATTTGATGTAATTTAAATTTTTGCCAATTTAAATACATGTTCTTTTTTGATAACTTCAAAAATCACAGAAATAATGATTTTAAATATTCAAAATCTATTGATTTCAGGTTTAATGTAAATAGTCATCACATTTTATAACATTAAATAGCTAATTGAAAATTAAACAATAAATGAAATGAAAATTATCGATTCCATTATTATATAGTTTGAAAATTACGCTGTTATTAATAATATCCAAATTAATTAATTTCATACTTGAGGATTAGTTTATATTATCTCTAATTTTATACCTAAAGAAATGATTAATCAAGTAAATTTAACTTACTTTATTAATTAAATTAGAATAAAAGATTTGAATTTAAATTATCTATCAACAGTAATATTTTTATTACCTTTTCAATCTTTTTCATCTTCAATAGATATTTAGAATATTCTACTTTAGAATACCTCTTAATATGACCAAATTAATTCTACAATTGATTATTATGATACTTCTATTATAAATATTAAATTTTAAATTGTACGATTAAAAGAGGCTTTTGATTCATTGAATTTTAATTTGAAAACATGTAACAGTTAGAAATTATTAATTTTTATACATTATAATTGAAAATACATTAATTGCATTAATTTATATTCAAGTTTATATTAAAGCATTAGTAAATTATCTGATGTACAAAATATTTATTCTGAAAATTTTGAAATTGCTGATTTTAATATTATCAACTCAGCCCTAATTTAACTTTAAAGATAAGCTTAAATATTCACTTAATCTAAGTACTATTTAATGAATTTTATAATTCAAGAAAATATTATTATTGTTTCTCATTCAGATTCATTTGCTTCACTAATTCATATTGATAACAAAATTTAGACTTAAATAATATTAGTAAATATATAAATTAAAAGAAATTAATTGCATAATTATGGATCAAATTTATTCATATTTTCAACTGTAGGTATTAAATTAAATTGTTCTTCTGGAGATGTAATAATGGAATCAAATTTAATTTTGCAACAAATTCAACAGATTATATAATAAACATTTTTGCAAAAACTATTCTTATGAATTATATTAAATTTTTTAATAATTCTGTTTATGCCATATATTTGCTTTTGAATAATATTATTCATAGCTTCCCTAAAGATGAGATAGTGAGGATTGATAATTTAAAGAACATCTTTCAAATAATTAGTCAGATGAGAAATTCCTATCTTTAAGCAGAAACTATAAAAATAAAAAATTGCTAAGTAGAAAATTCATCGGGGAAAAATGGAGTTGGGTTTACATAAAAGATCTAAAAAAAAATACAAAAATAATAGATGTTACTTTTAAAAATTTGAAAACACAATTCAAAAATAATTATGAATATGGAGCTTGTTAATTCCATTTTTGAGATTTTAAATCTATCTTTAAAATATTAATGTATAAAATGTAATTTCTAAAAATTACGGTAGCTTTCTTTATATAAAATCAGATTATGATTATTTGAATCTGACTTTTAATAATTTAACTTTATAAAGCTGCATATCGTCAAAAGGATCTATACATTATGCATCCTTTTAAAAAACTTTGATATCAAATTAACTGAATATAATTCAACTATATAAATGAATATAAATAATAGAAGTTTTTTTATATTGAAAATTCTGTAATAAACTTTTCAAATATATTCTTATCAAATGCATATGGAGAATCCTTACTTTACTCTATTGATTCAGGCAATATTATTTTGAAAGAAATTATTATATTTAATAGTATAATGCCTAAATTATTTAACCGAGAAATGATCTTGTATTATAGAGATTATTATAGATTTAAAGACTGTGATAAATATCAAAGGATTGAAAATTAAGAATTTGACATAATATGAGATTTCAGGTCAGAGATTTACCTATCTGGATAAGTTAAATCTACAAAAATTTTTAAAATGTAATGTTAATTTGAAATTCAAAATAATAAATTTGAAATGGATGTTGATGATGTTAATAATTAAGTAATAGATTGTTTATATAATTAATTTCTTTATTTAAATACTATTAACTAACAAGCTATACTGAATTATTAATTAGATAAAAGATACTGATATCATTTAGTTTTTTGATATTTATTTGATGAATAATAATAACTCTTTTTCAAAGAGTGGAATTTTGCTTTTGGAATTGAATAAACAAAAATATAAGACTTATTAAATTTATATAAATAATTTAAACATTAGAGATAATTAATGTGGATAAGTAGGTTGTATATATCTAAATTCTGAAATTTCTAATTTTAGATTCATTCTTTAATGAATTTAAAAGAATTCTAACATCTAATTAAGAATAAATATTAGGATAAATTAAACACGATATAATTATAAATAATTATAAATATTTAGGAAATTAAGCAGAATTTGGAACATGTTTATTTCTAATTAATCTAATGTAATTACAATTCTTTAAAGTAATGAAGCATATTAAATTGGAGGGATAATTTATTTTATAGGATTAGAATCCAAATTATTCTTAATAGATTGTTATATAATCAATAATTATGCATAAATTGCTGGTGCAATCTATTTTAATTATAGTATAAGTTAAGATATAAAAAGATTTGATACAAATTTTGTTGAAATTGGTGCATATTTCTTTAGAAATGCTTGTTTAAGTTCCAACTAATTTATCAATTACTTTAAATAACTATAAAAGTATTTTAAATACATATCCTATATATGAAATTAATGACTGTTTGTATGAACAATTAAAAATTTTAAATATGAAAATAGAGGAATATTTTTGCCAAGTGAAACTCCAATCCAAAAATATTAAAAATTTAATTTAAAATCTTAGCAATTATAACCATTAAACTTAACTTTTAGAATTGTTGCATTAGATAATTTGATTAATTCAAAATGTGATAAAAATAAGAATTTATTGATACATAGAATCAAACATTTATATCATAAAATTCTGTGTATTTTAATACAACTTCAATGATTATAATCTAGATGATTTGATTATTTTTTTTGATAGCAATAATACAAATAAATTATACTTATAATTAGTAATTACTTGTGATAGTATAAAAATAAAATAATATGATTAAAGCAATATAATTGTAAAATCATTTCACTCTAATTATAAACTATTTGTTAATCTTAACACATTTTGATGTAGAGTAGGTAAAATTAAACCTTTATCATATATGTCATGTTGAGAATGTGCTACAGATTTAGACTAATATTCTTTAAAAATTAATACAAATAGGTGTAAAATTAGGGATGAATAAACTACTATAAACGTTACTTCTTTTTAATTAAATCTAAGAAAAGTATTTAATTAGTCTATTAATTTAGAGATTTTGGAGACCTTATTTTGATAACAATTTAATTGATGAATGCTATAACTTGAAAGAGAATTGTTTTGGATAATGGGATTATGGAGATAACTCCTGCTTTTTAGATGATATAGGATCATTGTGTGAGTAATGTGATATTCAAAACATTAGAGGAAAAGGAAAATATTCAAGCGCTTAATAATATACATGTAGATCTTGTGAAAATATTAGATTTAATTTACTTTAAATTATTGGATTTAGTATTTGGTAATTTATATGATTATTATTTAAGGTCTCTAATAACTATCATTCCTAGAGTTAAAGGGGAAATAACAACTCAATATTATTTTCTAGAATCTCCTTACTTAATTAATATATTTACTAATTATATATAAATTATAAGTTCTTTAACAACACTCAAATTAGCCAGTTATTTGTATTGTTTAAATGGAGTTGGGACTCCGATACAAAGAATTTCCTCTTCAATGGATTCTTTTTTAAGTATAAAATTATTATATTTCATTAGTTATTTAATTTTTATTAAAATGATTGATTAAATATATAAAAATAACATTATTGAGAAAATTTTTATTAGAAATTAAACTTAAGTATTGTGTGATTTGATAAATGATGGAATTAATATTCTGAACTAAATTTAAAATTTTGAAAAAATCAAAAAAGTGATCAGACCAGTATATAATTTAGAAATTGTATATTTTGCATAAATTATAGATAAATTTAATTCTAAATTGAATTGATTATCATTAATATATTTTTTTATCTGGTATTTAATTTTAGGTTGATAAAATGTGAATTTTTTTTTCATTTTCAAACAATAAATATTGGATATAATATAAAACTTCTAATTTTTTTATCAATATTCTACAAAAATTTTAAATTAATAATAAAAGATATTTTTTTATGAATAAATATTATTTTAAATTGCAGAATTATTATAAGATCAATAACATCCTTCTATTACACTAATTATCTTTTCTTTATTAAAATATCACCCTTTACGAAATTCCAGATTTTTACTTAACAAGAAATATAATTTTCAATTAATTTTATTTATTAATATATTTTATTATTTAAGTATCAATAAAAAAAGCCAAATTTTAGCAAACTATGGCATTGAATAAGCTTAGAACTTAATAATAAGTAATTAGTCTTATAAAATAAAATTCAACTAAGAATCTATTGAAAGTCTTCTTGACTTTTTAAAGGTATTCATTATTTATTTCTCCTCAACTTCTTAATCAATAACATATATCTTTTATGACTCTTTCTAATTTGATTAAATATCTTTCCAATTCACTAATTTAAGGATTGAAGGAAAACTTCTTCATTCTCAAATAATTTATCATATATCATAATTTTTTGATATCTATGATAATCAAAAAAAATATATACTTTTCCTTCAAATTCTTATAATCACTCTTTAAATGGAATATTTTTAGTTATGTATCCAAAAAGATATAAAATTTCAAACAGTTTTTTATTCAGCATTCATATGAATTTAGGCTGTCAATTATAAAAAATTGATTTTACTATAAAAATTAAATTGAATCTATCCTCAATTTTTATGATTGTGATTTTTTTAAAGTTTTTGATTCCTAATTTCCTTTTAAAATTAAACAATTTTTCACAAATTGTCTGTTGTTGTAAAATTAAAGTTTCTATTATTCTGTTCTCTCATGTCTTCTTAGTTTCTTCAAAATAATTTTTGTTTCTAAACAATATTCCAAGAATCATAAACATCGATATGGGGATTTAACATATTTCTTCTAAAAATTAATTTGGTTTTTGATATTAGTGTTTAAATTATGATGTTTATTTATCACATTCTAAGAAATATAATAATAAAGATTGCTCAAATATTTAATAAATTTTTTAATATTTTTCATTTTTCTATTCTAATCATTCCTCTAATTAATTTCTTGCAATAATTGAATCTACTAATTGCTTCATATAATATTATTCTAAATTTGTATATGTTTTTACATAATCTTATTCTTAATCTTCAAATTTTTCCTAGTAATCTGACCTTAAATCTCTTAAACTTTTCCTATATAATTTATATTTATTCTCTTAATCTTTTTTTTAATCTAATAATTTATCTTCATAATATTTTTCCTAATCTATTAATTTTTTCTCGTAATCTTATTTTAAATCTTCTAATGTTTTCCTATATTCTTAATATTTTTCTAAATGTCTTAGTATAAATCATGATATTTATTATTGTAATCTTTTTCATAATCTTATAATTTTGTCTGATAATCTTATTGTTAAACTTTCAATTTTTTCTTATATTCTTCCTATTTTTCCTTATAAGCTTATTCTTATTCTTTTAATTTATTCTCATTATCATCCATTAAATTTTATAAATTTTTATAGTAGTATTCATATTTCAACATTAATATTATGAATATTAGTATTATAATTTATCCAAAAACTCTTAAAATTTTTTTAATTGATTATAATTGATGTTATTTGCATCTTTTGATACTTATTCTAAATAACTATTTATTTATTTATTTATTTATTTATTTATATTTATTTTTACTTGCCAACCAATGGGGAAATTAAAACTTAATTAGGTGATCAGAACCCCTTCGGAAATTCTTATACAAGGAATGCCTACATAAATAATAATAAATTAATTGATGTCTTTCTTCCAGGGTTTGGGTTT